AAACTATGCCATATTTAATCATGTCAAGGTTATTAAAGAAAGTCAACTTTTGGAATTGGTCATTTCATTATTGCAGCTACTGTGTTATTTGTAATTCGTATTCAACTCACATGGGATTGACTTGAGTTTTGAGTTTTTTCACCCTCAAAAGTTATTTCTTGATGAGTAATTTATCATGTAGAAAATTATCAAACAAAACTTTAGAAAAGCATAACACATTTTAAAGGGGAACAAAACTACTATGATTTTTTGGGGTCCGCCACCTTTTCCCATTTGAGAAAAATAGAGTATCTGTATTTTTTTATACACCTGTTTTCATTACGAATACCATAAATATAAATATATACAAGAAATAAATCAGTGCTATTTCTAAGGCTAAGAAATCATGATCCAATATTAATGGAATTTGATCTGTACTAATCTAGAAAAGTCAAACTAAATAAATTAATTACATATATACAACATTTTTTCCTAATACTCCCCCCAAAGTTGGAGAGTGAATATCACGAAGTCCCAACTTTGTTACGCAGTGATACGAATTGACTCTTCCCTAGAGCCTTTGCGAATACATTTGCCAGCTGGAAGTGTGTAGGTACATATGAAGGACTAATAATTTCAACTTACATTTTTTCTCGAAAGATGTGATAATCTATTTCAATGTGTTTTGTAAGCTCACAAAAATAGGATTTACTTCAACGTACAAAGCTGCTTGATTGTCACAGAACAATGGTGTAGGAGCCATCTACGAGACTTTCAAGTCTTGTAATATATAGCTTAGCCAAGTTAGCTCCAAACACTTGTTGCCATGGCTCTATATTCAGCCTCTGTCGATAATCGAGAAATATTGGCTTGTTTATTAGATTTCCATGGGATGAGAGAATTCCCAAGGAAAATATAGTATCGTGTAACTGATCTTTTTGTGGTACAACAAACTCCCCAATGTGAATCGCAGAAAGGTGGAAAATAACAATAAACCACCAAGAGTACCTTTAACGTACTCGAGGATTCGTGTGGTAGCATCCCAATGAGGTTTTTGAGGCTCATGGATGAATTGACTCAATGTTTGAACGGAATAAACTATGTCTGGCCTCGTGCCAATAAGATAAATTAATCTTCTGTATTTAGTTGGATCATTCAACAATGCTCCATCTGTGGGAGTCAAATGTTGT